AAATTCATGATTTTCTTGCTTTAACCTCCCAAGTACTAAAATTACAGCCATAAAGGCCCAAGAAGTCCTTATATTTCCAGGTTACCTAAATTTAGAGAGAGAGAGAGAGAGAGAGAGAGAGAGAGAGACTAAGAGGCAGAAATTTGACAAGGGATTCATCTCTTTTTGTAATTACATGTGCCTCTACTCCTAACAGGCAGGCACAAACTGTCTGCTGGAATATCTGTAATGGGGTAATTTCATTGGTTTAATAAAAAGATAATCAGCTTTGGTGGCATGTACCTGTACTACAAGCTACTGGGGAGGCTGAGGTAGAAAGATTACTTCAGCCCGCAGGTTTGAGACCAGCTTAGGCAGTACAGACAGATTCCGTCTTGGCAAGCAAAGACACTGAGAGATAGTTCCTTGACTGTGTAGTTGGTTTGGCCACAGCGTGTGTAATAGCAACTCTCCATGTTGCTGGAACAGAATTTAAAACCACTGTTCTTCATACATAGCATTAAGAGAATAAAAAGACAAACTAAGACTGGGAGAAGATATGTACACACACACACACACACACACACACACACACGGGTGCACATGTGTGTGATATACATAAGTGATACCTATCTACATAAACATATATCTAAGGACGGCGTCCAGAGTATATAAAGAATTTTCATAACTTCATAGTAAGTAAGCACAGCTTGATTATTTTTTTAGAAAAGCAAAAAGCCTTGAGCAAATGAATTCTCCAAAGAAGATATTCAAATGGAACAATAAATAAATTAAAAGATACTAACATGATTAGCTACTAGGGAAAAGCAAATGAAAACCACAACCAGATAGCCACATGAATTTTAGAATGGTTAAAATCTCAAGTAAGGAATCCTACTGAGTCCTGAAGCAGACTGAGCAAGGGGAGGACATTGCTAGCAGTGGGAATTAACGGAGCCACTGTGGAAAGGGTTTAGTTGTTTAACATAAAGTTAAACTTACATCTACATATCACCAAAAAAATCCCATTTCTGCCTATTTGTCTTAGACATAGGGATTTGCAGGCACACAAGAACACATGGATGTCTGTAGATCTTCTACAAATAAAAACAAGAGAAATGGAAGCAACCAAATGCACTTTCTTCAGGTGAATGGATAACCACACCATGACACGGCATATTAAGTAGTATGGAATACTGTTTAGCAACAAAAAACTGACCCATTTGACAATGTAAATGAATAAAAGCACTATGCTAAATGAAAGAAGCCAGACACAAAAGTCATAGTATGTAGTTCTGTTTGAATTCTATTTCAATAGTTCATTTCAATAAGACTAATCTACATAATTTCAAATTCTAGGCAAAGCAAATTTCATTTTTTGGAGTGAAGATTTTTTTATAATGAATATATTTTACAAAATCACAGGAGAATTATGCAGCGTTACCTGCACTGGATGCAATCCTGGGTCACAGGTCTGCACATTCCTTTGCAACTGGATGTGAGACAGCAGAATCTTTCATCTCACCTTTATTGTTTACTGTGACCCCTGTATCATCTTCAGAACAAACACCCACCTTTTATACTATATGACTTTTGCTGTTGAATTACCACTGCTTGGATGGGGCCATCTTTCTTAGCTCTGGTTTGCTTTTCTTCTTCCTTCCTTCCTCTCTTTTTTTTTCTTTTAAGATTTATTTATTTTATGTATATGAGTACTCTGTGTGCATGTCATCCAAGTGCCAGAAGAGGGCATCAGATCCCATTACAGATGGTTGTAAGCTACCATGTGATTGCTGGGAATTGAACTCAGGACCTCTAGAAGAGCAGTCAGTGCTCCTAACCGCTGAGTCATCCCTCTAGCCTGCTAGATTACTTTTTAGTAGATTGCAATGTTTATCAAATTGCTAGATATTCACTATGAATGAGCCATCAAAGGACAATAAATCATTATCTTGAAAGTAATAAGGCGGGCTGGAGAAATGGCTCAGCAGTTAAGATCACTGACTGCTCTTCCAGAGGTCCTGAGTTCAATTCCCAGCCACCACATGGTGGCTCACAACCATCTGTAATGGGATCCGATGCCCTCTTCTGGTGTGTCTGAGGACAGCTACAGTGTACTCATATACATAAAATAAATAAATCTCTAAAAAAGAAAGAAAGAAAGTAAGTAATAAGGCCTGGTCAGGCTTTGTACTTGAATTTTGTGGGCCAGAAAGATGGTTCAGCAGAGGAAAGGCACTTGCCATCAAGCCTGATGACAGAGTTTTATTCCTAGGACCCATATAGTAGAAGGGGAACTCTGTGCAAGTGGTCCTCTGACTGCCATACAGTTGTTATGTCACAAACACACCCACATATGAATGAACATTAAAAACCTTTTAAAGATAACTTTGCAACAATACAGTTTAGAAAAAAAAATTGTCTTTCAATGACTTTAGGTTCCCTAAAACTTGAATCTGCCACAAGGTAACTGGAATTTCTTAATGAAATGGGATAGAAAAATATGAGTTTTGCAAAAATCTTTGTTTCAGGTTACTTTTGGAATTGTAGTTATTACTGGTCTATGTGCCTGTTGTGAGAGTCTGTTGTTTCCTTCAGCTCCGGGTTCCAGGAATCAACTCAGATCATCATGCTTGACTGACAAGTGCTTTTATCCCCTTGAGCCATCTTGTCAGCCCTGGTTCCATTTGTACAACCAGGGTACATGTTTGGACATACATACACATGCACAATTGAGTGTGCATATACACATACACATACACACACACACATACACACACACCATTGTTGAAAATTCAGTGCTGTGTAACAAATATATACAAGAAGATAGATACATTTGTAACAGCAGTGTGTTAGAAGAATGGACTTTTGAATGAACCCAAAGACTCATGAATATGCTAGTAGGAAAATATTCTGCTTGTGTTTGTGGATAAACTCTCTACAGCTAAAATGAAAAAACAAAAACAATCTCCTTCCAAAAAACTAAAGGTATATGTATCAGGACAGATGATTGTCACCAAACAAAAGCAAATCAAAGAACCATGATATGAATAGAATAAAGTTTAAAACAATTTGAAAAACTTATGGTGTAATGTCTACGTACTTCTAGATACAGTATAATTGGTGGGGGGGAGTTGAAACAAGAGACAGATGAGCAATGGATTCAAGGCAAACAAGGCTGGTCAGAGGATGTTGGTAATATGTATTATTTATTGTAATTCTTATTATTGTTGTTATTATTACTATTATTTGGTTTTTCAAGATAGGGTTTCTCTGTGTTAGTCTGTCCTTACTGTCCTAGAACTCACTATGTAGACCAGGCTGGCCTTGAACTCAGAGATCTGCCTGTATGCTTCTCACATATTGGAATTAAAGGTGTGTACTACCACTGCCTAGTATATATATATAATATAATATGTGTGTGTGTGTGCATGTGTGTGTGTAAAATTATTTCATATCTGTGTGGTTTGGGCATTTACACCCCAGTACAGAAATGACTGTAGAACAAGAATCTAAGACAGCAGAATAACTTTTAAAAGATATATTGATCCTTACTTTATGTGTATGGTTGTTTGCCTGTTGTATGTACGTGCATCTAATGTGTAAGCCTGGTGCCCAGAGGCCAGATGGGACTGTGGATAGCCTAGAACTGGAATTGCAGATGATCGTGAGTTGCTGAGTGAGTTCCAGGAACCAGTCCCTGGTTCTCTGAGAAAGCAATGTTCCTAACTGCCGAACCATTTCTCTTGTCCCCATGATTTATTAAGGGAATATCTCTGGACTCAGCAATTCCTTATTTAACCCCAATTTGCATGTAACTCCACGGCAGAAGTTTCCTTGAATCCTAGCCTTAGCTAGTTGCCCCACCCACTCATGGCCAGGTTTGGGAAGACATTTATTTAATGGCTGAATTGTATAAATAACAGCAGAACGTTTAATCAAAAAGCATTGGTTTTGAAATGCTGGAAGAATAGTGGCAGATCACCAAAGAGTGATTTTGACGGATGAGAGTTAAGAGCAAAGGAGGGAGGCTGGTTCCCTCCTGGGTCCGCCCATTGGCTCATTCAGCTTCTTTGATTAAATGAAGTCATCTTTTACTACTTAGACTTCCATTCCTTGTAAACCTAATGTGTAATACTAACAACTCCTCACTTCCGGCTCCCACAGAAACTTTTCGAAAACGAGGCCCATTCAAAGTCAATCAAAATGCAACGTTGCCTAGTTTTCAATACAAACGCTAATCTCCACTCCCACGATTCCTGAGAGACTTCATTCTCATTTAAATAGTGTTAGCGATTAAAAGGAGATCGAATTCTTACTTTTTAAAGTTTGATAACTTTAAAACTCATTAACACCCAAACATCGTTTGTTGTTAAAAAGTAAAACCATGTCTGATGCGAAGAGAAGTCTATAGTTCCGTTCTTTGTCTGTTCTGGCTGGTGGAGCACCGTTATTACAGCAGCAGAAGCACTAAGGATGCCTTAGGAAAATTTTGAGTGCTCTAGTCATTACGGTATACAAAAGAAGAAAAACTCTTCCACAGAACCCGGGAAAACTGCACTAGACCCGTATGGGTTCCTGACCTTGGCCGTGGCGTTGGAGCAGCTGGGCTGTTTCAGTGAGGACCCATCCTGGAAGTTTCTGGCAAAACCCCGAGCCTTCTGGCAGCCCGACGGCTAGCAGGCTCCACAGGTCCCTTTAAGGCGCCCTACGCGCGGAAAAAGGGGAGAGCAAGGGGAGGGAGCAGGGTTCGCGATCGCATGCCACGTGACTGGGTTGCCAAGTCTGCCAGCGAGTTTGACAGAAGTTTGAATCAGGCTCGGTGGTTTTCTGCAGCCGGAGGGGCAGAGCGGCGGACAGAGCCTCCGAGAGCACGAGCAGCAGCGCCCCCACGACCCAGCCCGCCAGCCTGGAGCCCGGCCTGCCCACGGCCGCAAGCCCGCCGCCCCCAGCGCCCCCGCGCGCCCCTCAGTCTCCCGGCCAGGGAATCGAACGCCCGCACTGCGCCCCAACGCGCCAGCATGTCCTCGACGGAGAGCCCCGGTCGCACCTCGGACAAGTCTCCGCGCCCGCAGGTACGCCCCAAGTGCCCGGCCCCTGGACTTTCGCTAGCCCCTATCCACCTAGATGTCCTGCATGTGTCCGATTCCGCCTTCCCTGCCCCCCAATGTGAGTAGTGGGGGACCCACGCTTTCCCTCCGGGCTGGCCGCCTTGACTGGCTGCTGACTTTGTCTCTGCAGGTGGACCGCCTGCTCCTGGGGCTGCGCTGGCAGCGCCTGGAGGAGCCGTTGGGCTTCATCAAAGTTCTCCAGTGGGTGAGTCGGCCCTAGCCCCGGGCTATTTCGGGAACCTGGATTGTGACGCGGACCCGAAGCAATGTGGTCCCGGAGGAGGCTGGGGAGATGCAGTAGGCCCAGCCACCGCGGAAGGGTGGGGGGTGGCGACAGGTGGGCGGGGGAGGGGAGGACCAGGGTTGGTGCTCCAGTGCAGGGTGGAAGAAGGGAGAGGAGCCAGGCATGCGGAGTCCCGGATTCGGACCTTCTATGTACAAGGTTCCTTTGCCCAGGGCGCTCACATTTCACTCGGACGAGAGGACCCGGGTGTAACCTTTCCAGAACTCTGATCTGCACATACCACTCTTCAGTGGCGGGAGGGGTGATGAGGGACAAGGAGGGTAAGGTCCACTTTGCAGTGAGGACAAAGCTACTACGGAGGGCACTAGGGAAGGAAGAGGGTTACAGGAACCATCCTGGCCGGAACCCTCTAGGACCTGGATGATCCTGGGGGTGGACTCAGGGGACAGACTTCCAGCTGAAGTCACTAGAGTAATTTGGGAAACTGTAACCAAGTAAAGAAGTGGATGGATGAATGAACAGTTTCCCAGTCCAATGATTAAATAAAAGACAAGACAGAAAAAAATGTGGCAGGTAGCATAACAGAACACTGAGTGGGAAGGTGAGGTGGTAGGTTGCAGGCCTAGATCTGCCTGTCTCAGCTCTGTGACCTTGGGCAAGTCTCTTTTCTGGACACTGGCTTCCAGCATTAGTCAAACATGGATCAAACCTGTCAGCATACTAGAGTATAGCTCAGCATTAAATTTACCCTGTGACCTTGAAACATTCATCTGCCCAGGGCCTCAGTTTCCCCTTCTTTGGTCTAGTGGGAATATTGTCTTGTTTCACTGGTACTTTAAGACATTGGTAAGACATTGGGTTCTTAGACTCCAATACCCAAGTTCTCCATAAAATAGGAACATGGACAGATTCAGTCAGTTTTTCAAATCATAAAGACTTGGGGAACATTTTGTGCATTCTTGCAGAAAATGTTCTGTTAGACAAGCCATACACCAAATTCTATATGAAATTATTAATGTGCCCTCAGCACTGGATTCAGCTAGGGACCAATTTACCATTAATACCCAAGAGGACAGAGTTCTAAAGAACTTTGAATTCACAGGAGATAGGACTTAGCACGCTGTCACCAAATCCTAAGTAATTGTGGTTGGATGGAAATCATCAAATCTGGAGAGCATTTGGGATTGTCTCTGGGTATCTGAGACCTCGATGGGCTGCAGGCCAGCCTGGGAGTCCCGAGAGTAAATAAACTCTGGGACTTTCCATTTTCTCTGCTGCCTCAACAGTGGGCCAATGCTGACTGAACTCTTTCACCTCTTGACTTCCTTTGTTCTGACCTGAGTACCAGAGGGGACGGAATAGGAAAGGTAAGGTTACAAAGGCATTTAGAAGTAAGGTGTCACTGAGCAATCCCTAGACGTAAGTGCTATCCAAACCAGACAAGCAGATCTAACGGAAAGTGACAGATTGTCAGGGGATGGGGAACAATAGGAAACACCATGGATTTGTCTTCCCTGGGAAGATTCCGGAAAGCTTCCTTCCTTAATCCTACCACTGATTCTCATGGCTACTTCCTACGACATTCCTGCACACAGTGAGTGACTCCTAGCCCAACAGTCCAGTCTTCTTCCAGAGTCATCATTGACTCCCTATAACACCTTTCTGACTTTTATGTTCTCCACCTTTATAGGGAAGGAATTGTACAAAACAGGAACTATCTTCCTTTCACACAGCTAAACCAGGTTTCTGGGGGATAGACTTGGAAGCAGCTTTCATTCATAGCAGTGCTCCTGACCTATGGGTTGAGACCCCTTTGGTCTGAATGAGCCTGTGATAAAATTACAGTTATGAAGTAGCAACAAAAATAATTTTATGATGGGGGATGGTGGTCACCACAACATGAGGAACTGTATCAAAGGATCACAGCATTAGGCAGGTTGAGAGCCACTGTTTCACACAGTAGCATCATAAGGAGCCATGGTTTGCTTTCAGTGCTATCTTAGGTAGCCTAAACACAGGGCATGAGTTTGGCTTGCTTGAACCTTTGCAGGTGAACAGGAAAGTACATAGGAACCAGTGTGAGAAGTAGTCCTCACCAGAGGGGAAACAGAAAGCACAGATCTTGTAGTTACTATAATGGTAATTGAACATTTTCATTATTATCACCAAAAGGCAAGGGTTTTACTGGAATCCTTGTGAGAAGAAGTGATGTAGGCAGGACTTAGAGTGTCTTTAAGATTTAGAAATTAAGCTGGCTGCAGTGGTGCACACCTTTAATCCCAGCAGTTGGGAGGCAAAGGGAGGCGGATCTCAGCCTGGTTTTCCAAATCAACCAAACTAACCAAAAGATTCAGAAACGAACCTAACCTCAGTTCCAATTCAAGAATGTTATCATGTCTATATCAAGACAGCCAGAAAGCTTGCTCTATCTACTTGTCTGACTGTCCATTCATCAGTCTGTCCATCCATCCGTCCAACCATCCATCCATCCATCCACCCATCAATATATCTAATATATCTACCAATCTATTTTAGTTTTTTTGAGAGTCTTTCTCTGTAGCCCTGGTTGTCCTGAAACTCACAGGGCTAGGCTGTCCTCCAGATCATAGAGATCTGCTTGCCTCTGCCTCCTGAGTGCAGCCAAATAACTCCTATATAGATATAGACAAGTTATTGAAGTAGGGTTTTTAAAAACTTTTATATTATCATATTATCATTAGTGTGTGTGTGTGTGTGTGTGTGTGTGTGTGTGTGTGTGAGAGAGAGAGAGAGAGAGAGAGAGAGAGAGAGAGAGAGGAGAGGAGAGGAGAGGAGAGGAGAGAGTTTGAGTGAATGGGTATGTGCACAAGTGCCTGGTATATATGGAGGTCAAAGGAGTTTGGTTGGTTTTTTTTTTCCCCTCTTACTTAGATTTGGGGGACGGAAGTTGAACTCACCAGAGTTACATGGCAAGTGTCTTTGCCCACTAAGCCATCTCATTGGTCCTAAAAACTAGCACTAAGAGAAAAGGAAGTCTAAAATTAGACGGACTTTTGCTTAAATTCAGTCTCTGCTTCTCGTCCCTCAAAGCTCCAGCAAGGGATGAACTCTTTGTGGGCTTCATTTTCCTCATCTGAGGCTAAGCCATGCCCTCTAGGTTTACTTGGAGGATTATGGGTAGTGATGTCCACACAGCATAGAAGATCATAGTGAGATCTTTCATCAATGTGTGCTCCCTTCTGTCCTATTCCCAAACCTTCTCTAACTTCCTTCCTAATGTAGACTGTCCTGGTAGACTTGCCTTTCGGTGAGATTACTCAAATGTCACTGCCAACCCTTCAGTTTGAATGTTCAGTGCAAAAGAATCCAGGTGACTCAGTCATATGGGATTTTAATAATTGTTCATATTAAATTTATCCAACGTATGCCCTCCTGATGGCGGCTGATGATCTTCGTGGGGAGGGGCATTCAGAGATCTATAATACAAGGAAGCTATTTCACTGGTGGGATATGTTTTTATTTCTTTGATGCATTTTTCCTACTGGAGATTTTGAGTAGACACTGTCAGAGTTCATAGCACCAATAGATAGTTGAGGCAGGACTGTGGGAAACACCCTATGTTCTTGTGCCTTGAACTCCCTGGTGGTTAGTGTTGACACCAGTGTATACAGTAAGTCAGCATCAAAGTGGAGCCCCAACCTCAATCTGGGAAGGTTATTCTATCTTTTCAAGGAGATGCAAAGGCAGGAGGAGGATGAGGCAGAGGTGGGCAAAGTGTGACCATCACCACTCCCAGCATCTGAGCTCAGGAAATGCCCTTGTTCTCAGGTACTCCATGTTCTTTATGGCCAATGTGCTATCTCATAGCCCTGTGTGTGTGAGAGGAGTGGTTCCAAGCTCTTCTCTTCTTGTTTCTGTGCATTAGTTCCCTACATGGTCATGGCAGGAAGCAAATCTTGCACAGAAAAGTAAAGGGTTTGAAGCCATAAATGGGCTGGACAGGTATCTCTGCTCCTCCAGCTTGGGGCAGAACACCTGCCTTTGTCCTTGTAACATGCACTGTACAGAAGAGACCTTCTCTTCAGCCTTAGGGACCAGAGTGCAGGGTCTTACTCATCTCCATATCAATAGCATCAGGCACAGGTAGATGCTTACTTTAGAATGAATGAATGAATGAATGAACGAACGAAGCTCAGAATAGGGACTCAGAAGATGTAAGCTTGAAGTCCAGCTCTCACATTAGCTAAATATGACTTCGAGAACGTTACTTAATCAAAGGAAAGAGGGCCTCTTCTGTTTCCAGAAGTGGAATTAGACTTAGAATTTTAATCGATGATGGAAGAGTTCTGCAGTCCATGCTGGCCAGTAGAGTAGTGGTTGCTATGTGGCTGGTGTGACTGAGCAGTTGAATCTTAGCTTTTGTTTCATTTTAAGTAACTTAAATAGCCATGGTTGGTTGGACACTACATTTTGAGCAGGATAGTTCTAAGGCATAAACTCCATGAGGACAGCTCCGCTATCTCTCTGTCTCTGCCTCTCTGTCTCTCTCTGTCTCTGTCTCTGTCTATCTCTCTCTCCCTCTCCCTCTCCCTCCCTCACCCCCCCCTCTCTCTCTCTCACACACACACACACATACACACACACACAGTCTCTCACTGTTAAAGTGCCTGCCACAGGTATATACTGGAGGAATGGCATCTTTTGGCAGATGTTTAACAGTTGCCCAGGGAAGAAAAGGTCCATACTGACTGAGTTAAGAATCTTTCCATGCTCCTTTATACTTTCTGACCAACAGCCAATGAATAAAAAAACACTGACCCAACTGCTATCCTTCCTCAAATGGGATACCCTCACTGTGTCCTGTTCTAGACCCCAGAAGCCAAGAGGTACAAAGACTTCTAGGGAGAATCGGAGATCCACAGAGTGAATGAAGACTAGACAGTCCCTCTAAGGAACAGCTAGAGAAGGGTCACTGCTCTGCTCAAGAGGCCAGCTTTGAATATATCAAGGGTGATGATGCAGAGGCTGCTAGTGACTTCTCTCTGACTGTCAGGAAGGTGGGCCAACAGTCCTCTACTGCAGCTCTCAGAGCTTGGTCCAGATGTGGAGGCTATGCACCCATTGCAAGCAGGTTACACTGTCTTCTTTCCTGGGTATCTTTACCTATACAGATAATTATCACTCGTTTGGAACAAGTCTACTAAAAACAGGGGCACACACAACCTTTAGAGAGCAGCCAATGGCTCCAGCACAGAGTTCTGCCAGGCCAGGCCATGCAAGGCAGGGCAGGAGCACTGGATACCACCCAGGGGCAGAACACAGCTGTTACTAAACCCAGCCAAGAGCATACTCTGCTGCTAGCATTAACTTCAGAGGGTGGAAGAGTTCCAGAGCTGGAAGCAACCTTTGAATTATCCCCAAGTCCTTCATTTTACAAATGAAGAAACTAGGACTTGACGATCCAAGCCACCTAGACACTAAGTTATGGGGCCAAGACCAGGACCCGGGTTCCTTGATTCCTAATCTAGATCTCTTTCACTCCGATTAGCAGTAGAAAAATAACGCACAATACTATTCTTGACTGGATACAAGACTGGAGTAGAGATTATTGTCTTCTTGCTTAATTTTCAAAACATTGATTGAGTCACAGAGTAACAGATAGAAACAAACAATTAACAGAGTATATTCATCATTTAGTAAGAATATTTGTATCATGCCAAAGGTAAGTGCATAGAAAACGGGCTAGGGGGCCAGAGAGGTGGCTCAGCAGTTAAAAGCATCTACTGCTTTTCTAAAGGTCCTGAGTTCAATTTCCAGCAACTACGTGGTGGCTCACAACCATCTTTAATGGGATCTGATGTCTCTTCTAGTGTGTCCAAAGACAGCTACAGTGTACTCACATAAAATAAGTAATTCTTTTTTTAAAAAAAAAAAGAAGAAGAAAGAAAAGAAAGCAGGCTGGATGGACAACGTGGTAGAACAGAAGAATGTAGCTTCTTTCCATTCTGATTAATGTGTGTTCCCCAAGAAAGAAACGTGAGAATCATAGGATGGGGACTTTTCAGATCACTCAAGACAGAAGGTGTAGTTAGCTGTGATGCAAGACGGACAGGAAAACAAATCAAGTGGTCTGACACATCCCCACTTCCTATCACTCAGAAATGACAGCAGCAACAGACTACAAACAGGAGCACGCAGTGGTGGGAAATTGTAGAGCTGATAAGGCAAGTGGAGGGTACTTTTCCCTGGGCTTGAGCCAGGCCTGTCAACATTCACCCAGCCAGCACTGTTGCTAGAAGGAAAGGAAAGTCAGGCTGGCAGTACCATGAGATGGCTCGGTAGGAGCCTCCAGCACCATACCTCCGATGAGGCAGGAAACTATAGCAAGTTTGCAATAAGGTCAGGGCGAGAGTCTATGACTGTTCAAGGAGGAATAAAAATAAAATTAAAGGAACAACATTCCAGGCACACATGATCTGGCTTGATATAAGGGAATCGGCCAGGTGTGGTGGCACATATGTTTAATCCCAGCACTTGGGAAGCAGAGCCAGGCGAATCTCTGAGTTTGAAGCCTAGATTACCCAGAGAAACCCTGTCTTGGACAAAAAAAAAAAAAAAGTGTGTGTGTATTTCTGAGCTCTCATTTGGAGAAAAAAAGTAAGTCTAGCTTTGAAACAGATACTTCCATAGCCAGAATTATAGAGTTTTGTATTAGCCATTATCTTAAGAGGCCATATGTGCCCAGTAGAGTGATCTGGAAACTCTTTTCTCCCACCTTTTCCCCTCTGAGGACACACTCAAAGGCTACCTTCTTCACTTGGCTACTTGGTCAACACTTTGTTGGGAGAACAGTGTCTTCAGTTGAAAGAAGCATGGCAGCGAGGGTCCCTACCAGGAGGAACTTAGTAAAAGGAATTGTTACTCTGTATCCACTGAATACTTGCACCCCCTGGAGTCAAAGGGCGGTTCTTTGAGAGACCTTCAGATTCTCAAAGAGGCTTTACTTTCTCTCAGCTCTTTGCTATTTTCGCCTTCGGGTCCTGCGGCTCTTACAGCGGGGAGACGGGAGCCTTGGTTCGCTGCAACAACGAAGCCAAGGATGTGAGCTCCATCATTGTTTTGTTCGGCTATCCCTTCAGGTGAGTAGGGATTGGTTCTAGTCCAGTGCCCTTCTTTTACCACGTTAGCAGGGCTTTCTCCCTTCTCTGCTCTTTTTGTTTCTGCTTAGAGGACACGCAATCTAAAGACCATTTATTGTGTGCTGTTCTAGGTCAAAATAAAACAAGACCTGGATCATTCTTTCCTTTGGCCATTTTTCAGATACTCTGACCAGAGTGAAACATGGATATGTCATTGTTATGGTGGTCCAGTCCAACCTGAAACAATGGCAACTCACCACAGCTTGTGGGGGGGGGATCTAGCCATTGGAAGGAAGTGTGGAAAGGGTCTGGGCCAGCTGGGTACCTCTCCCTGACCCTCTGCATATTCCTCTGTGCCTTGAAGGAAGGAAGCTTATTAGAGTTTAGTTATGAAACAAGAGACGTGGGATGTTCACCCGATGTCACCCAAACGCAAGGAGGTACACCTTGACCAGGAAGTAGACAAGGGAGATTCGCCCTGACCAGGAAGTAGAAAAGAATACTAATCTCTGAATCTAGAAGTCTAGTCAGGGAGGAGAAATGACTGTTAAGAAAAGGATGGAGACAGAACACATCTTTTCAGAGTGTCTGAAACACTTCTCTGTCCAACTTAGATTAAGTATCTCTTGTACACAACAAGCTGTATTTCTTCACTTTATTTTGTCCAATGTGGCCAAATCAGAGAGGCATAAATCAAGCCTGTGAATGGATAACTTTAACCTTAATTTGGTCACTGCTTAATATGGGTCTTTGTGTTTCCAAGAGCAGACTGAATTTGATTGTCTAGTGACTTAGCTACCAGAAATAGTTAGATGGCTTATATGTTATGACTTAAAGGTCCCTGAACAGATGGTTGTGCAGTGGCTGCTGAGAGGAACATGGGGTTTGGATGGAATCTTGGACTAGGACTGTAGCCCAGTGGTTAAAGCACTTACCCAGCATGTGTGAGGCCTCAAGTTCAATCCCCAGTACTACCAGAAATAAATGATCAGAGTCTTGAGCCGTTGCCTCTCTTGACTGTAAGATTTCCTCAGGAGTTCCTACCTACATGACTCCCAGGGTGAGACCCAGCACAGGAGCCCTTCTTGGGCAGAGTAAGAGAGGCTGGCCCTATATCAGCATGGCTTCCCTTGCCATCTGTAGGCTGTACCGGGTCCAGTATGAGATGCCTCTCTGTGATGAAGACTCCACCTCCAAAACCATGAACCTCATGGGAGACTTCTCCACTCCTGCCGAGTTCTTTGTGACCCTTGGCATCTTTTCCTTCTTCTATACAATGGCTGCCCTGGTCATCTACCTGCGCTTCCACAAACTCTACACGGAGAACAAACGCTTCCCATTGGTGGTGAGTGAGCATAGCCCAGAGGTATGGGACCAATAAATGGAAGAGAAACCTGGAGTCAGAGATGGAGGGGAGATCAAAAGTAATGGCTTCTCTGAGTTCTTGATACCTATGTGTGGAATAGAACCTTTGCCCTACCAACCATTCAGTGGTTTGTTTGCAGTCAAAGGAAGAAAAACAGTATCTTTATAAAGCAGGCAGGCTCTAGAGCTGACCTAACCGTTTCAAATCCCAGCACTTGCTCTCAGTAGCTGTGTGACATCAGACAAGATACTCAGCATCTCTGTGCCTTAGTTTTCTTGGGTATAAAATAAAGATGAAGTAATGAATACTTGTGTTGGTGTTTTGGGAGGATAGAATGAGTATGCATGTACAGCACCTAACACGTAGTTATTCTCTGAGAGCTATCTATTATTAGTATTGTTTCATTTGCTTCCCTCATATTCCAGGCATTCAAGATAGGAAGTGTGCTTTAGAGATCTCAATTCTCTTCTGAATGTGCCTTTTTCATTACTTACAGTTTGAACAATGGTGATTAAAAAGGAGTTGAGAGGAGAGAGTGAGGAGTTTAAGTAACTTGGGTGGCAAGGAGGGAGGGCTTCCAGCAGATAAAATACTGTGGCAGCTCATTGACCTTAATTTTATTGGAAGAAATATGGTAGTCTGAGTGGCAGCATTCCTTTGGTGGCGCTGAACAGAGTCTTCAGGTAGAAATGGGAGTCTAGGTATTCGTACGGCGAGAAGAGACATCTTAGCTTGGGACCTCGGGACTCTTGTGTGATTGGAGGAAGGAAAGGTAATTGATGATCATGGGGCCCTTCTGAATGTCTTCCTCCCTCTGCTCCTCCTAGGATTTCTGTGTGACTGTCTCTTTCACCTTCTTTTGGCTGGTTGCTGCCGCTGCCTGGGGCAAGGGCTTGACTGATGTCAAAGGGGCCACGCGGCCATCCAGCCTGACTGCAGCCATGTCTGTGTGCCATGGAGAGGAGGCAGTGTGCAGTGCCGGGGCCACGCCCTCTATGGGGCTGGCTAACATCTCTGTGGTGAGACTTGTGATCATTGAAGGGGTCTGGGGATGGTACACTAGCCCAGCTGTCCAGCTACCTAACCGGTTCTGAGAGAAACAGGGACACTGTCCTCAGAGACGAGATGCTCTGCACCTAGACTAGTAACCCCTGCATCGGATGGTGACCTGAGAAGATACTTTTGGATGAGACAAATCTGAGCCACTCTTTCACCACCTTTCCTTTCCATGGTTAGCAGTCCTGGTGGTTACCCTTTCTGGTCTGTTCGACCACAGGTCACATGAAAGCATGTGCAGAAGGATCTGTGGCTGTGGCTGGACTCAGAGCTGTGAGTGGATTAGTATGAGATAGAAACTGTCCCTTGTCGTTTAGCTTTCTCTACTGGAAAGGTTTTGTCAGGCGGCGGTGGGCTCAGCTGGAAGGCAATCCTGGTTTTAGTCATCCAGTTGTTACATCATGGAGCTACATTTATGTAAGCTAGTAAATATCCATAGCATTAAACTTCTCAAATGTCCCGTCATCTCAGCCATCCTGGAACTACTCAGAAATGTCTAATGGCTAGTGCACCAAGGAGCCTTCTGGAACCCTGCACATGGGTTTTTTCTTCCATATGTGTGTGTGTATACACCAGACATACCAGAAGAGGGCATCAGATCCCATTACAGATGGCTGTGAGCCACCGTGTGGTTGCTGGGAATTGAACTCAGGACCTCTGGAAGAGGCGGCAGTGGTCTTTAACTGCTGAGCCATCTCTCCAGTCCCTCCAAATTTTACTTATTAAAAAAATTCATATATATCCAGAAAAGTTGAAAAATATTTACAGGGAAGGCCCGCATAGTCACTTTCTAAAGTGCAACTGTTCAGTGCACCTGCTTTATAAGTATTTATCTGACTTTCTTATCTATTGTTTTTATTTGATTTTTTGAGAGACAGGGTCTTTGTATATTACCCAGGTTGTCTTTGAAGTCACTATATAATCCAAGCTGCCTTTGAATTCATGGTTCTTTTTTTTTAAATTTATATATTTTATTTATATGAGTATACTGTACACTGTAGCTGTCTTCAGATCCTATTACAGATGGTTCTGAGCCACCATGTAGTTGCTGGGAATTGAACTCAGGACCTCTGGAAGAACAATCAATGCACTTAACTGCTGAGCCATCTCTCCAGCCCTGAATTCACGGTTCTTTTGCCTCAGCCTTCTATGTACCAGGATTATTGATTTGTGCCACTACACTCAGCTTTTCTTTTCATTTGTGTTGTGAGACTCAGACTAGTCTCGAGTTCAGTCTTTCTCCCTTAATCTCCTAAGTGCTAATTACATGAGTGTAATTCACCATACCTAGTTTAACGATCCCATTATTATTATCATTTTTATTTTGAGACAGAATCTTACTATACAGCCCTGGCTAGCCTGGAACTTGCTTTATACAACAGGCTGGCTTCCAATTCATGGGGATCTGCCTGCTTCTGCCTCATAAGTACTAGGCAGTAAGTACCAACGTGGCTAGTTCAATCCATTTTTAAACATGTTTTTCAAAGTGGATTGCAAACATCAGTATCTTTCTTCCTAACTATTTATTTGTTAGGTTTTTGTTATTGTTCTTTTGTGTTTTGAGACAAGGTCTCTCTACAAAGCCCTGGCTGTCCTGGAGCTTTCTGTATAAACCAGGCTGAACTGAGACTCACAGAGATCCACCTGCCTCTGTCTCTACTGGGATTAAAGGCATATGCCAGTAGACTCTTCCATATTCTCAGTTTTAAAAAATATTTTAAATAACTATTTTAATAGCTCTGGTGTGGCACACACCTGTAATACCAACACCCTGTCTGACAGAGGCAGGAGGGTTACAGGTCCTAGAACAGGCTAGGTGCACAGAGAAAACAAAAGAATAATAATGAAAACAATAGATGTTTGAATAACATCCTTTGCTTAGTCTTTAGCCCTAGGGGAGTACCTTGGACAGCTCCAGTCACACTCACCTCAAGAAGGCAAGCTTGTGTTCCTTGATTTACTTAGCATTCCTGGGGCCAGATTCGAATAGCGACCAAGCTATACAGTGAGAGAGTACTCTGGACAGAATTTAGACACTTTCATTATAAAATCTCTTAATAGATAGTAGCCTTGAGCCCTGTCTCAATACCAAGTTCTCTGTGCTTTTCCTCCTCCCATTTCTCATGTAGCTCTTTCGTGACTATTCTCACAGACTCTCCTGATTTCTTTTGTAGCTCTTTGGCTTTATCAACTTCTTCCTGTGGGCTGGAAACTGTTGGTTTGTGTTCAAAGAGACCCCGTGGCATGGACAAGGCCAGGACCAGGGCCAGGGCCCCAGCCAGGAGAGTGCAGCAGAACAGGGAGCAGTGGAGAAGCAGTGAGCAGCCTTCGTCTGCCTGCTCCGAACTGGACAGCACCTTTCATCTCCTCCTGCTTCCACAGGACCTTCCTCCTCCTCCTCCTCCTCCTCCTCCTCCTCCTCCTCCTCCTCCTCTTCCTCCTCCTCCAATTTCCTTCCCCCATCATTCTGGACTTTGAGAGAATGGATGGGTGGGCATCAGCTGTTGGTAACCTGGGCAGACCTCCACTGGCTTCCTATCCCTCATCCTGCTGGGGCAGCAAATGGCAGGATCTCAGTGCTTCTTGTCTGCTGCCTGGATTTGGGCATCTTACTTGGGGAGGTCAGCTGGCAACCTAGCCCTGAGTCCTGTGTGGAAGGCCCACCAGTGACTTGGTGACATCCCTCAATAGCTGTCATCTAATCTCTATACTATCTCTAGCCCTCCCAGGGCCCAGTGTGCTCCCCAATCTCTTCTCTGGCCTCTGTTTGTCCATAGCTCCCTGTGAAGCAGGGAGACTGTTACCCTATGGAGGGTCCCGCTAAGGGTCCACATTAGGCCTGGGCCCAGTGGGAGCAGATAGAGTTGCAAGTGTATTGCAGCACCAAGGAAGAAAGTCAGGAAAGTTGCTGGCAGAATAAACTTTCTGTCCCTTCAGTCCTCCCTCTCCCTCAGCTGGAAGGCTTTCAGTAGCGCCCTACACCCCACTTACTCATGAAACCCCTTACTCCCTTCTCCTTCTCAGCATTAGCTTTGTCTCACATTTAGGAAACAAGGTGAAATGGCTTTGAACATTGCCTCTTAACTTTCCCATCCCCATCTCCCTTCCCCAACCTTTTGGAGATAAGGCATTTAAGATCTTTTTAACAGTCTGCCCAGGCCTTCCTTTCATTCCTGTGGGCTTTGGGAAGCCCTGAAGGACCATCGTGAGACGGAGATGCCCAAGAGTCCCAGGACATGGATACATGGCCCACCTGTCCCTTACCATCTGTTCATTTTCTCAAGCCAGCACCTTTTCTAGTTCTTTCCTTCCCATCTTTACAAAGAGGGTTCTCTCACCTCATCTCTCATCTCCACATGGTAGCCAGGCCCTATCCCTTCCCCAGTCCTGGGCAGCCCGATGCTATTGGTGCTTCTTCACTTCGGGACCCAGTTCCATATTTGTCTTTGGTGTGTCTCCTCTTCCTGAACCCTCCTGTTATCCCTCCTCAGGCCCCAAGGCCTGAGGGTACCAACTAGGTAAATGCCATCTGCATCCTACCCAGATCAAACACCCTTGATCTACCCTGACAGTACGGTTGCTCAGGGAAAGATGAAGAAGGAAGAAACCAGCCGTTTCCCAATTTAGTGGCAATTGGGCCGCTTAGCATCCCAAAGATGAATGTGCCTTGTGCCACCCTGTCCTCAAGGCATGATCGACCCTCTCCAATCCCCTTGCCTTCCTCAATGCTACCCACATCAAGATGTATTACTTGGGTGCCCAGGGCTCAGAATCCTTAACTTTGGGCTATTCATTTCTTCTTTGGGTTACTACAATTCCCCCACCTGACAAAGGAAGTATGATATTTACACACTTCCACATGCTCCCGGGCCCTTCAGTAAAACAATTTGGAAGTTTTATTTTCTGTTTCAGATTTTAGGGAAAAGATTTACGGAGGGGAACATTTGATGAGGGTGAGAATGTCCCAAATCTGAAACTCTCTATTCTAAGTTGTCCCCATAGTTACTTAAGGACAAAGGGGACAGTTTTACCTACTATCTAGAGATACAAAGAATAAAGAGGTGACCATTTTTCTTCAAGCAATCCCTGTGGGGATCTGGGAGCACCTTCTACTCAAACTATGTTTGGATTCTGCATCTATATTTATAATTTATTTGAACTGTGATGGATAAAGTGTTCTCATTTGGGGCCTAAGTTAGCAAGTGGCCATCAACTACTTTAGAAAGGGAACTATCCACTCCCACTGAGCATTCTTACTCCAGGGTTAGGAAGGCTCTTCTTCAGCAAGAGTCTGACTATGGCCAAAAGAACCTTGATTTAGGCTATAGCCTTTCTCTCCATGGCCGCCCTAAGAGGAAAGACCACTTCACCTCATTGCCTCTAGGGGGCTGGGCCGGGATAAGTGCTGAGGGTGGCTCTGTCCTCATAAGACTCATGTCCTCTCCAACCAGGGCTGGCACCACCACTTTGCCTAGTCAGGCCTGAAGAAGGAGAAGGTGTCTGGTTTCTCTAGCTATTGCAGGAGGCCAACAAGCAGGGAATTTGCCCTTTGCCCTGGTAGACTCTGACCATGTGGAGATGCCCATCATGGACCTTTCTTAGTCACGAGTTCCCTTCAACATCCTGACCACGGGTCTCCTGTTTCTGGGATTGCAGATCAAGGGCGTGGGGAGAATGTTGCATGTTGTTTTGTGGTGCTTGTTATTACACATTTGAATAAACAGTGCTGCGAACATTTGCCAAGAAGAAGCCAAGACCAGAAGACTTTTGGGGATTTTTTTCCCTCTCTTTTTCCCTTGCTCTATGTTCTTGGAAAAATTTCAGCATTTCTACCAAGACACACACTTCTCCTTGCAGCTCTGCACCCCAGGCAATAGAGTCTGCTGGCTGAGCAATTGTTTCTGGCAAGCCCTAGTCTAGTGACATCGACTCTTTTGGTGGCACCCAATTAGTCCAAAGAAACCAAGACTCATTAGCAAATTTGGATCAAACTCAAAAGGCAAGACACTGGCTCCCACAATACTGCCTCCATTTGCTCTACTACCATCTGTGACCCAAAGGAGGCGTCAGGGCCATATGCTTCCCTCTCCTCACTATAGGGTTCATGCTGCACAAACTCACACTTCCATCTCCTCAGACAATCACATATCACACTTACATTCCCTAGAAAAATGTACTTGGGCACAGTTTTACATTTAATCTCATCAGGGTTCCTGGCCTCTTAGGGGCCACTTTTGGGTGGGTCTTAGGTTTAGAACTTCTGCCCTCAGATATTATTCTTTATGTAGTTAAGCTGTTCTTATATGGAAAGCAGATAGTCACAGACCTTGACTTATTTGCTCCCAACTTGGTTTCATTTTAGGCAAAGGGATGCAATATGGCGTGATGGGTGAGGTATTCAAAGAAAAAGAGGATTAATATTTCATTTCCAGTGAGAACGGGGATGGAGGTGAAGGCAGATTTTTGTCTCTTCTGTGAGGGTGGGAAGAAATATTATCAGCTAAGAAGAAAAGTGGGGGATTAAGGTACTTTCTGGGCCTTAGCAAAAAGAAAGGAAGAAAGAAAGAAAAAGAGAAAGAAAGAAAGAAAGAAAGAAAGAAAGAAAGGAAGAGAAAAGAAAAAGAAATAAAGATAGATAGGTATGAGAAACCTCCCTATGCCAAGGCTTCCATAGCAGCTTTTCCGGCAGCGAAAATATTCATTAGAAAAAGAAGCCAAAATGATGGATGGAATCAGGGTCCAGCCAGGATTTGGGAAGAGGCGGTGCAGGTTATCGATTGCAGTTCCCAGGAGGAGAGAGATGGATCGGGAGAGACACTGCAAACACCAGCAGCCTCGGGGCCACCCTAGTTCTTGGGTTGGTTCTGGCTCGGCGATAGCCTTCTGTCATACTGACAGGTGATCTTGGCAAGCTCAGCCAGGTCCTCCCAAACCTAGACAACAGTACTCCAAACCTCTGTTCTGCATCAAGGCAGCGTGGGTTTCCCACAGAGGAGCAGCACAGGAGCGGCGGCCCTCCCCCACTCCAAACCCTGTGTCCTTCAGCACGTCCTGCACACTCCCTCCCCTTGCCCTTCTGATTCACTGCGCCCACCTCCCTGCACCTACCCTATTCGATCTACAGGGGTGCAGAGGCGCTTCGTGGCCGCCAGCCCAGGAAGGGGCGCCAGCCAGCTGGCGGATGCACGGCTTTAGAGGGTATCTTGGGCGGAGAGAGGTTTGGGGCTCGGGTAAGCGCAGTAAGTTTGCCACTTTGGAAGTAGCACAAAGGATGTGTACGGAGGGGTTGAAAGAGGATATCCCGAGGCTTTGATCTCTCCTTCCCCGCGTGCGATTGTGCATTTCGGAAGGGATCCCTTGGCTAGCTCCGTAAGCATCACCACCCCTCCGCAACTACACTTCCCAGAAAGCTGTGTTGAGAGTGAGGAGGTAGTGGCAGGAGGCACGAGCTGCGCTTGCGCAGAGAGTGAACTGGAAAGGTAGGGGGAGAGGGAGGCGTGCCCCCGGTCGGAGGGTGGGGGGAGGGGGCCGCGCGGCGGCGGCGCCGGGGCGGGCGCGCGTCCGCGGCGGTGATGGCGGTGCGTGAACGCGCGGTGGCAGCAATGGCCGCTCTGGAGCGGCGAGTGCCGAGTCTCGATGACTTCGCGGGACAGAGCTGGAGCTCGTGGGTGGAGCGGGCCGACCTGCCTGCGGCAGACGGTGAGTACAGACACATTAGAATCCGGGGACCCCATCACTATCTCCCCTCCCCCCCAGGGCCCCCTCCAGCTGAGGGGAGCCGCCGACTGGAGTCGCCGTCCGGCTCCCCGGCCCCCCAAACAAAGGACCCGCCGGGTCCTAGTGCCCGCCTGCTCAGCTACCTTCGCGCCTCCGGGTCCTAGCGCCGGCTCATCGCTTGCAGCCCACCCTGCCCACCTCTGTCTCTGCGGGTGTACAGTACCTGCCCCCACTTTACTTGCCTTTATCTTTCTTCTCGTGAGCGGGCCTCCAGGTGTTTTCGGTTCTGCACCTGCTCCGGCTCTACCCATCTGCAACAGTCCTCTCCACGTGTTTCCCACGCACCCCACTTCTGTGACCCCCTCCCCACCCACTTGATTCTTCGCCTTTTGCCCCGCACCTTAGCTTCTTTCAACGCCTCCCTCCCTGCTCAGTAGTCCTGAACCCCCGCCCCCTCTGCTTTAGTTCATACATCCTCCATCCATCCATCCATCCTCCCGACCTCCCTCCATCAGTCCATCCATACATGACTCCAAGCCTCCATCCTTTCCTGGGCCTCTTGCCCTGCCCCTTGGCTCTCTCCCTTGACCCCTATTTTCTGTAGGCCCTTGAGTGCCTTTGGTGAGCAGGCCTGCAGCCCCTTCTGATCTTTGTCTCCTGGGCCCCAGGGAGCACCTGGCCTCGTGGCCTTTCGGGGTGACAACAAGCATCACACCCCTGAAGAAGTTTGCAAGTGAGAAGAGGTGGAGGAGAGATCTCGTGGAGCGGTCTCTAATGCCACTTGTTCTCTTTTGAGACATCTGATTCCAGCTCTGTTCTGTCATTCCCCACACTCGAATTTAAGGGACTTAAAAGAGTGGGAGCTGCCCCATATCTTTTGCATGCCTAACCCACTATCACTTATGTCTGGGTATTATGATTGCCAATAATCTTGTCATCCTAGAAAGGGGCCACTCTGTTAGTGAGCATTAGAGGGCCAACCTGGATGGGAGTACAGGCCACCCTTGGACTGCCCCCATGCTGAGTGGGCTAAGATGGGTCCCTCATCAGGGTCTAGGTGCACAGAGAACCGGAAATGGACTCAGATTTGGTGACTCAGAATCGATTCCCCCTGACCCCGAGGGACAGGGAGGGGGCTTAGAGGAGGGGGGTGAGGAGTGAGGTAGGGGGATGGGGAAAGAGCTGCTTTGCACAGCTAAGATGTTTTTGTCATTAACCCAGAAACTGAGGTACAAGGGCAACCCCTGGACAAAGCCCCCCTAAGAAGGGGAGGGGCTTGCGTAGCTGATCAAGGAGACTTTGAAGATGCCAAAGGGTCCAAAGACAGCAGTTTCTCTACTCTATGGCCATCCTATCAGTGCAGGACCTGAGAAGCTGAGTGTAACTTTGATACTATGGTAACTTGGGTGGAGCAAAATGAGTTTATGGGGGTGGGGATCTGGGAGGGAATTTGTCTGGGATGCCACAGAGTAGTAGAAAGGACCCATGTAAGCAGTCTCAAAAGGGACCTATAGAAAAATTTTAGAACCATTTCCCTTTTAAATGGGGGAAACAAGGCCCAGAAAAGAGACATTACCCATTGTCACCCAAATAGCAGTGGAACTCTGTACTGTACCTGGGAGTGAAGGGTCACTGTGATCCTTAATGGGGTCATCTCATCTCAGAGGGGCACATGATGGAAACATAGGAACTTGTGAATGACCCATTGAAAGTGTCTTCGGGAATCCTGAGTGCTTGTTGGGGCATGTGGGCTTCATACCGTCGGGCTGCAGGCCCTGCTGGGTTCTGGGAATTGGGTGGGCCTTCTCAACTGTGCTTCTCCTCCAGGGGCTGAACTAGAGGAGAGTAGCAAAAACACGAAGAAGCTGGACGCCATGACCCTCATTAAAGAAGGTGGGAGTCAACACACAGAGAGGGCTGGGATTCAGGAAATTGGAGCACCTTTCCTCCTGGAGGAGGTAGCTTGAAGCAGCAGCAGGACTGCTGGGGGAAGCCTCCTTTTGATAGGTCTGAGTCAGTCAGTTGCCCTGGCTCTTGGAACCTGTTGTTGGAGATCCTGATCATGTGTGGTCGGTGCCCACTCACATGAAAGCCTGTACACTTTGGGTCTGGTCAGGTTGGACGGTGGGGGCTGGGGGCATCCAGCAGAACTGTCAGTTGGAAGGCAGAGTACCTTCTGAGTGGTAGGGCAAGAGTGTTCCTTGATCTAGGAAAATGCAGAGAACTCAACCTGAGTGATAACGGATTCTGTCATTGCAGACATGTCCATCTTCGGGCACTGCCCCGCCCATGATGACTTCTATTTGGTTGTATGTAACCACTGCAGCCAGGTGGTGAAGCCTCAAGCCTTCCAGAAGCATTGCGGTGAGGGGGCGCCCGAGGGAGGTGATAAGGGGACGGGATGGTAGAACATGGAACTCTTAGGACAGTGTCAGTCGGGAGGTCATTTGGGGTAAAGGAAGATGGTGCTGGGGACAGCTTGAGTGTTGGAGGTGTCGGGATTATGGTTTGACCAAGCTTCTAGCATCAAGTAGAGTTAAGAGGTTCAAGAAGTTTGGTGTAGCATGTTGATTCCTGAAAGGCTCAGTTTTCAATGGGAAGGAGAGAAACTCACAACCCAAGCGGTAGGGACTCAGGTTCTGTAAAAAGAATGGGTGGGCTGGTTAGGAGATGGGGAAGGAGGCGGTCAATACCACTCACCTCAGTTACTCTCTCCACCTCCTGGTGACAGAAAGAAGACATGGGCCCCTCAGCAAGCTTTATGCCCGGGCCCCACCCCCACCTCCAGCCCCTGCCAGCTCTCAGAAATGCCATGTAGTGAATGGGCAGGGCCCAGCTTGTAGAGCCCCAGGTTCCACCAAAACCTCCTCCAGGGAGAAGGGCCAGGGGTCCCGGAGCCGTGGCCATCAGCCTCCTGAGAAGACCCAGAAGGACAGCCTCTGGTAAGAAGAAGCTAGAAACCCCCAAAGACTAGCCCTGACCCTGACCCAGGAGAGGGTTGACACTTAGTCCTGGTTGCAGGATACTGCTCACAGCAAGAAATAGCTAAACCTATCTGCAGCTCCTTTCCATATATTCCAGGGAACATGGGCTCCCCTTTTTTCCACGCCTCTCTTGGAGTCTACCCAAGCTCCATAGCTAGGGAGGAGATGGCTCTGGGCTAGAGTCCAGACCCCAGCCCCAGCCTCCCCACCTCCCAGCCCATACCCTCTCTCCACGTGTAGCCTTTTCGTGCCTGTGGTGAATCTGGAGAAGATGTCCAGTCTCCCGAAGCCCGATGGACATGGAATCAGGGTGGCCCCACCCTCTGCTTTCCTCAGTCAGCCAGGAGGCCTCCCCAAGGACTCCCCTGGAAAAGTCCCCACGGCCCCCTCTCCTAAAGAACCTCCTGGCAGAGAGAACATCGAGCTAATCCCTGGTGAGGGCTCCAGTCACCGGGCCGAAGGCAGCCTCCCGGAGAAGGAGCCCAGTGGAGCCAGGCTTCCTCCTAAAACCCACCGAAAGATGGCTCGTGAGTAGTTATAGACATGGGGCTCAGAAAGGTAGAGTGGAGACCTCACTGGGCTTCTCTGTTCTTGGGTCAGGAAGGAGTGAACCTGTCCAGGTCTGACCATTACAGCTTGGAGGGTACGGAAGCCCCATTACCTCCTGTCCTGCTTGTTCCCAGGAAGCTTTGCTGGTCCAGGTCTCTGAGGAAGTCTGGGAGAGCCTGAGTCTAAGCCAGCTATTCTTGCCTTGAGCTATTGACCATTCTCTGCTTCCTCACATTCTACAGCTGGTTTTCCTGGCATCTCAGATGTGGGTAGCTGCTTTTGCTTCTTGGTACGGACTGCCCTGCTTTGGGCTTCCAGTCTCCCAAGAGTGCTTGGGCCAGGGATGGGGCTGAGTTGGTTTGAACCCAGCAGGTAGAACCCAAGAGCTGAGAGGCTCTCCTGCCTTAGTCCTATTGCTTCTCAGGCCCTTGGCAAGAAGAGGCCAGATTCTTCCTTGGCTCCTCCCCAAAAAGGACTTGAGATTCATTGGCGCCTTTTTCCCCACAGGGAAAGAGTTCGACCTCAACAGGCAGTGCGGGGTCATAAATCCGGAGACCAAGAAGATCTGTACACGCCTGTTGACTTGCAAGGTAGCCCCTTCCTCTGCTTGATGGTGGGGGGAAGGGGGTTCAACATAGACATGGAACCTCAGAAAGGAGAGTTCAGAAGTTACTGTAAGCGCAGTTGAAGGGATGGGGCTTAACCGCCACCAGGGAAGAACAGAAGAGACTACTTGTAGTGGAGAACAGGGCAGGAGCAGAAGACAGGGAGTACCTTCCAGATCCCCTTACCCAGAGGAGAGTTGTGGTCCCTTGAGAGTAAAATAAATACACAAACACCCCTCACCCACAGCACACTCTGTATGTGTCAAAGAAGACCAACCCTTTCCCTCCTGCTCAGATCACACCTCCTGACTACTCCACTCTGTTGTGTTCTAGATCCACTCAGTGCACCAGCGCAGGGAGGTCCCAGGCAGGGCCAAGGACTTTGATGTGCTAGTGGCTGAACTGAAGGCCAGCTCCCGAAAAGGAGAATCTCCCAAGGAGAAGAGCCCAGCGCGCAAAGAGCCAGCTCCCGAGCGCCCCTCCCAGGAGCCTCCTACTGCAGTCCAGGGTGTGGCAGCAGTAGCTGCCCCCAACAATACCTTCTCTTCTCTGTCTAAGCAGACCCACCCATACTGCGCACTTCCCAGGTATGTACAGAATCTTAAGTCCACCTAAAATGGGGATATCCAGCCCCTAAGGTACCAGGAAGTCCTGGAGACAGGCCCAGGGAATGTCCTGACGATATACTCACTTCCCATAAGCGCCCAGGCACGCTGCGGCACTCCAGCCTCCATGAGGTGTAGCAGTTGGGTGACGCAGTGGTAGTCATTCACTGGCCCCTTTGTGTGCAGAGGCTGCCCTGGACTATGGGAAAGCCTACTCACATGCACTTCCACCTATACTACAGGAGTAGACATAAAACACAGGCTTGTCTCCCAGACAGGCCAGGAATATGTGATGAAGAGAGATGGCTAGGCTGACCTGTGCTGGGTATAGTTAAGCTGGGAAAATTTTCTGGAGGAAGCAAATCTGAAGCCAATTTTCTCCATAAAAAGACAAGGCCTAGGAAGGGGCTGGAGAGAGAATCCTTTCGAGGCTGTGGCCCTTGGTTCTGCCTCTTACTCTGTGAGCTATATTGTACTTTCCTGTCCTTTCATCCTTCGCATTCATCTGAGTACCCAGAAGGGCACATCTGCCCTGGGTCCTTGAGCTCGGACACCCTCCCCTCCCCTACGTCATTCACATCATCCTAACGTCTCCTTTGGCCCTTCTAGGTCTCATGCCTCCTCGGAGAGTGAGGTGGATGATGAAGGTCCCTGTGGTGGTGATGGGGATCCAGGCCTATTCCCTTTCCCTCTGCCCCGGGGTGGGGCCCAGGCCTCCAGTGAGGAAAGTGAGGAAGAGGGGACATCTGATGACCTCCACCTTTCCCCTGACTGCCATTATGCAACTCGGCCTCCTAGGCCACAGGCGGTAAGGTGGCAGGACAGGGAGCTGGGGTGGTGAGTAGCTAAGTCTTGGATCTCAGGCCCTCCCAACCATGTTCTTTCCTTCTGCCTCCAGTTTTGCACATTTGGAAGCCGGCTGGTGAGCCCAGGATGCTATGTGTTTAGCCGCCGGCTGGACCGGTTTTGCTCAGCACTCAGCTCCATGCTGGAACGGCATCTCAGCTCACACATGTGGAAGTGAGTTTCATGGACTCAGAACTTCCTTCCTCAGGCTTGAGTGTTCTTGGGCTTCAGAAACCCCAGTCTGGTATACCATGGCTGATTGCTAAAAATCCAAATGGAGTGTGGCATGCAGGGTTGAGACTTAGTAGCCTGGAGGAGGGCATGAGTGGGTGATCTGGGTGAATCGAGAGGCTTACCCATCTCTTCCAGTGCCTTTCAAGTAACGTAGGATAGGGAGTGGCCAAACCAAGACCAAAAATTAGGTTGTCAATGGGTCTACATGCTAGTCGTATATCCCGTACTGATACAATGACCATTCCTTTTCTTGTGCCTTCCTTGGCTTAGTTCCAGTGTCTCCCAGCAGGGGGCAGCAGTCTAGGGCTTTGCTGGCCATCTGAAGGTGCAGAGACTGACTGGTGTATACCAGGGAAGTCCTGGTGTTTGTTCAGTATCACAGTGGAGCTCTCTCTTTGCTACAGGAAGATCCCACCAGCGGCTGAGCCTCCATCCCATCTTGTCAGTCCATCCTTATCTGATCCCCTGAGTCCATCCTCTATGGGCAGCTGCCCCCGACTTCCAGGCCCACCCCCCCGACCTGCCTGTCCAGCCTCCATACCTCCCATCAAGGACAGTCTTGTCCCTAGCTATCCTGCAGGCTCCCCCAGTGTAGCAGCTGCCTGCAGCCAGGCAGAGTGCATGGGCGGTAGCCAGGCTATTACCTCACCGCTGCCTGCCAACACTCCATCTCCGTCCTTCAGCAAGCTGCCACCTTCCAAGGCCAGCAAGTCATCCAAAGGCAAGGAGGGGGTGGAGATGGAGGCCCCTTCTCGAAAGCGGAAGCTATCCCCTGGCCCTACCACTTTCAAACGGACCTGCATCCTGGAGCCTGCTGGAAAAGGCAAACCCTCTAGCTGTCGGGGTCTCTCAACCAAGACTAAAACAGCCCTGAACTTGGGGCTTAATGGAACAGTGGGGCCACGAGTGAAACGAGCAGGTCCCCTGGACTGTCGGGGTTCCCCTCATTCATCCCCCATACCAGTCAAGGCTTCTCAGCTAGAAAACCGAGGAGTGGCTGGACACCCAGCTAAGGTCCTGCCAACCAACTGCCTCTCTGAGGAGGAGGTAGCCAAGAAGCGGAAAAACCTGGCCACTTACTGCCGGCCAGTCAAGGCCAAGCACTGTCAGGCTGTTGTCCCTCCTGATGGGACCTGCTCTGTGCGACGCAAGAAGCCAGGCCCAGCCCTGCCCTTTGAGGAGAAGTGCTCTACACTGAAGGTACTAGTCCAGCTTCCTGAAGAACATGGGCAGAGAGGGCTTGGGAGGGCTGAGGCTGGGGAGCACAATAGGTACATGACATGGAGAAGGTACTAAGAGGAGAATAAAGGGGGGAATAAAGGGGGGACTGAGAGAGCTCCTGGGCTACCTACTTTGGGGAGAGGTTGGTCAGTTCTTTCCAGGGTGACCCAACTTTTTCCTGAGGGACCTTTCCTATGCCCAAATCTTCTCCTTTGGGCTTAGGACATGTTGTCCCACCTTGCCTTTGCTTTTGCTTTAATGAAAGGACTACGTCTTTTTGAATTGGCTGTGTCCTTCCCTCTAGGACTCGGAGCTATTTTTCCTTAAAGGAAGGGGCTTTGAGTCCCAGCATGCAGAGTAGCTGGGTGGGTGGGCTGCTCTAGTTCTCTGGTTCTTCCACTGGCATTGGGACACTGAAAAGCAAGTACACAACTTAAGGTCCACAGAGTCATTTCAGATTACAGCAGGTTCTCCAGGTTCTAGTAAAGCTGGCAGTTATGTTTATTTACCTTTTCTGTTGAAGCCTGCTTTGATCTATCCCTGTGATCTCTGTAAGGAGGGACTTCTGGGAGGTGAGACAGGGTAATAGTCTTCTGGTTTAGGCACAGATTATGTGCATGCCGAGTCTCCTGGCACCTTTAAGGGAAAACTGATAGTTACTGAAGGGCCTGCTGGTGTGTGTACAGGTGTGTGCATGTATGTTCTCCAGCTTCACTACCTAGTCCACTTCTGTTAAGCTGGCATTCCTTTCCCCTCGCTCAGTTGTATTTATTAGGCTAGCTGAAGGAATTCAAGGGTTAGCCCAGATGTTTAATGGGGAGGATAACAGGTAGGCCCCGAGCCTGACCCTGTCTCTTACCTCTTGTCTCCCTGCAGTCAAAAGCTCATTAACGAGAAAGTGCCTGCCCACTGCAACGGAGCCGTCAGCACCTCCTCCCCTCCAGATCTGGGCCCCAGGCTGCTGCCGCTTTTTATAACTTTATATTATTTTTTTTAAGAAAAAAAAAACTCTAAAATACCTCAAGACTGTCTCCCTGTTCTGTTGCTGCTAAGAAAATATAAAAAACAGAAACATAGAAAAGGATGAAACCTGATGTAGCCGGATTAGTGTTCTTACTCTCTGCAGCCCCATCCCGAGAGGCTGGGATGATAGGCAGTACACACACACTGTACACAGAAACCTGGAGCTGCTGTCCCTGGGAATCTTCTTCCAGAGAGGATGATAAGGCATATGACACTGAGTGAGCACAGCACCCCAGAGGCTTGAGAGAGACAATCGTGGTTCCACTGGGAGAGATGAGAGGGAGGGGACTCACTCTTGTGACGCCATCCTTGGGTTTTGGGCCTGAGGGTTTGTGGGAGTTAGCTTATGGCCCTTTTCTGGTTTTCTAGCAACACTGGGCTTCCATCCCTCTACAGATTGCTGTTCTTGCCCTTCCCAGTTCTTAATACCAGCCTTAATTTCTCAACCATACAGAGGTTGAGCTTGGTGATTACTGTTCTAGAGGTGCTGGACGGCTTTTTTTTTTTTCTTTTTCTTTTCATTTTTAACTTATGGTGTCCGTGTGTCTGTGTGTGGGTATGTGCATGTGATGGCTGCGGAGGCAAGAAGTGTGGGATCCCCCTGAAGTTAGTTACAGTCAGCTGTGGGCCCCCTGATGTGAGCGTTCAGGCCCTGTGCAAGAGGAATATGCACTCTTAACCACTGAGCCATTTCCTCAGCCCCCTGAACAGCCCAAAATGGTCTCTTCTGTGAGTTTGCCCTGAAGAATGGGGAAAATGCTCTCAGATAGTACTCTTTAGGCTGAATCACACCTTTTTGGAGGTAATTGTGTAGCAGGGAGGCTCTGGTTCCTCTGGATCAAGGCTGTGCATCTATTGTGGCAGCAAAGACTGAACATGCTCTAAGTCTTTGGAATATTTTGAGGGGGCAGCATGGGAGGGAGGGGATGGGGGGCAACTACATCTGAAGGCAGGGATGAGATTACTTCTTTGGTT